ATGGTGTATTACCCAGACATGTTGGAACATCATTCCTTATCCCTCCGTACATACTGGTGTCCAGGTTGGCCTGGCCATGACTCCTTACATAATGGTGTACTGCATAACAGTGAAACAGGTGCATCTAACTTGTCCTTCCAATATGCTCGGCCATAATCCTACTCTATTTTTTAAAAACATTTAGTCACAGTGATATACATTCAATACGTGACTAGATGTGCGATTGAGTACATTAATTCAACCATATATTCCATACCTAATTAAAATATATAGATGAGTACCAGCTGATTAATACTTAATCACATTTTGTAGTTAAAGCTCATTTTACACAACAAAAGAAGTAAGCTAGTCTGGTGTAAAATCACACCGTCTCCCTCCAACTCTCTGGCTGATTCCGGTTCACCAACTGCCTGGTGCGAGCGGAGAAGGACGCCAAATTGCTTTCCCACTTCCATGTCTTAAAAAATCAAGACTCACCATGAACTAATATTTAGATCTCCCATGCTGCAGATCTTATAATTAATTTAAATAAATCTGAAATGTGATTTGGTGTTGCACATGCCTTGTGCCAAGAGCTCAGAGAAGGAGAGGAGGAGCGCAAAGCTACAGCCGCTGTAGGCATCTGTTCTCTGGGATTCTTAGAGAATATTTAGTGCTTTTTTAGAGGATGATTTTAAGTATAAGTACGTGACTGGTTAATGAAATCACAGCAGTTTTCTCATGTACATAAACTGCATTGTTTACAAATTCTTGAGTGGTGGATTTCATTTTTAAAAACTTGACTTTAATTTTATGCCTGAACCAACAGGAAATAAAGAACTTAGCTGAGGCTCAAAATTTCCTAGGGGAGAACCCCAAGACCCTCACACTTAACATGTGTCCCCCACAATGTTTAGACAAAATGACAGCCTTGTCTGCATCTCTGTATGGGGATTATAAATATGTAAGTAAGAAAAACCTGTCACTGTATATTGATAATTGATAAATATGAGAGAGGTGCCCCCTTTTTTATTTTTTGGTTGAGGACCTGCCTTCAAAAATGTTGCACAGGGACCAACAAGCTCCACTTACAGTAGTAAACACACCTGTCAACTAAAAAAGATCTTTACACGGAAAAAAAGCCTAATGCTATGCCAGCCTGAGCTAAGATTTCTCCAAATAGCTATTATAACACATCTGACCGCACCTGTTTCCAGTAAATATCACACATCCTGATTTCACTTGAAATCAGAGGCATTTTGATGCCTCCACTTTCAAGAATGTCTTTATCACTTCAGCACTGAGGTGCAGATATTAAAATTATGAGATGTGAGCCGCGGCATAATGTTGACCAGTAGATCGGCGAAAAATAAAATAATATTCCACAGAGAGAGATATAAAGGTAAAATGTAAAGGTGGGACTGAAGAGCTCAGAGAGCAGAACAGAACAAGAGTAAAAATACAAATGCATTTACATTCAGCAGCAGTGCTTCAGTGGTGGAAAGTTACTGCACTGTACTGAAGTCCAATCCTGAGGTACCTGCATTTTACTTACAAGACCTATTTCCATTATAAGCCACTCTATAGGCCTATTTCTACTCCACTACATTATAGAAACATGTTGTACTCTTTACTAAGCTACATTTATCTGATAACTTTAGTTACTCTGCAGATTCAGATTAATAATACAAATTATGAGGAATACATTATGATGAAAAATTTTATTGATCCTTTGGTAAAAAACACAAAATACCCAGCAGTATACAGAATTATGCCACCTTAACCAGTTGCAACATATAAGTGATGTACACAGTAATGCATCAATAAGTATAATTCATGATGTAATAAATATTATTCTGAACTGGTCATTTTTACAATGAGTACTTTTTGTACTTTAAGTTTATCCTGAGGCTAATATTTTTGTACCTTTAAGATGTTGATGGCAAGACTTTTACTTATTACAGTGTACTTATACACTGGCATTTCTAGTTTCACTTCAGTAAAATATCAGAGTACTTCCTCCATCACTGCAGAGCTCAGCCAAAAACAACCAGACAGCAGCAGAGTGGATTCAGGACCACTTCTCTGAGTGAGTCCAGTGAAAACACCAGTCAAAGCTGTAAAACCTAAACAACATAAATCAATATGTAAAATATGAGTAGATATAAAAATACAATTTTACAAGAGCAATTCTAGTCAAAATCACAAGATAAGCAATAAATGTACATGAGTGATGTTAGGACATCTCAAGTAAAGTGACACAATGGTGTGTTTATTAACAGGAAACAAATTATACTTTATGTAGAAGTAAAATGATAGAATAACAGTACACACCAGAATAGTACATAATTAATAATAGCAACTATTATTTGTCAGTAATAATATAGAAATACAGTATAACAGAAAACATGTGGAGGTATATCTAAAAGGTCAGCTGTGTCTGTTACATCTGGAAGTATTTTAATAATAATCTTAATTCATTTCATTTTTTTACATTATCCAACCCCAATGACACACACACCCACACACGCACTCTCAGATTCAGTTTCCGCTTTGGATAAAAAGTTGTCTGTCTCTATGTGTCAGCCCTGCGTTAGTCTGGCAACCTGTCCAAGGTGTACCCTACTACTTGCTCAATGTCAGCTCTGATAGGCTCCAACCCCCCCGGATATTAGGATATTAGTGAATGAATGATGCTCTTTCTGTCTTCACCTCCCTCTCTGGATAATATGGCATCTCCAGGATAGCTTTGTTTTTCTCTGATGGCTGCAGACCTTTGCACAGTGAGACATGGATCTTCTGCCATGAGTCCATCTCTGAGCTCCAAAGAGCAGCTCTGGCTCTGATGAACTGTGAGACTTCGGTCTCACTGCCTTTGGCCAGACTGATACTGTCTTTACAGATGAAGACAATATCCATGCCGAGGAAGAGAGCATTGAGCCCAATGAGACCAGCCCTGGCTGACTTGGAGAGGGCAAGAGTCCCTTTGACAGTTGCCTGTCCAATATCTGGGATTTCTGAAGCCACCCTTGGCACATTACGTAATGCTTGTCCTTCCTGCACCGCCACTAAGCCAGCCCTCATAGCCTGCTCTTTACTTTTTTTTAATGTCTGTAAAGCTGAGACATCTGTAACAAGTGAGCCAATACTGCGTCTAACTGACACAGGTTTACTCAACAAACTGAGAACCTTGAGATATTGTACATTCAATGGAATGTTAGCAGCTGGTTGAGCAGACACCTCCTCCAGACAATCCTGGAGACTCTGCACATCCTCCATAAACCTCTGGAAGACTTCACCAGCTTCCTTTTGATGTTTATGGTTTACCACAATCTCTGTGGCGGTGGTAACAACACTGTTGACTCCGCTGGTTATTCCCAGTGCTGTCCCACCTATTATCAGACCTAGAGACACTCCGGCTGTTACAGGAATTAATGCCAAACCAATGATGGAAAGCACACCTCCAACTGCACCCACTGAGCTGCCTACCACACTGGAGATCTTTGCCCCCTTATTCATGCTGTCCAGCTGAACAGCGTTCTCCTCCAGGTCTTTAAGAAACTTCAGCATCCGGGGTTGTCGCTTGGTGAACTCATCGATGAAGCGACAACATGATACTTCCTGGAACAAGAAGTTTGTCCTGAAGTGCTGGTCCATCCTTTGAAAAACAAAAAAGGACAAATAGAAAACATAAAAAGAGGTATTTCAAAGACCAGCCTGTTACAGGGGTCAGTCTACTAATTTATGCACTGAAGTCACTGCAAACAGTGCTGACAAAATATTTGACCAAACCAAACCAAACATGGTTTACACTTACCTGATTCTATCAAGCTGATTAATGTGACAAAGCATCCGCTCTATGTCATCTTCACACAAATGTGCATTGAGGTCTACCACAGTTTCTGTGTTCCTCTTCAGGCGAAAGTCACTGAGGAAGCTTTGAAAGACAAATTTACTTTTAAATTCCACAGAAGGGTCTGTTTACTTTCTTTTACAGGGATGTGTCTAATATCAATAAAAACAAAATGTGCATATTGTTGTAAAGAAATGCCAGTTTACCTTTTCTCTAACTTCTTGCAGATTGTCTTGGTGGTCTGAATGTATCTGTCCAGCTGATATGACAGCACTTCCACATTCTGCAGTTTGGGAAGGAAGAAGACACTTGCATCTCTTTTAAATTGTAGGAGGAGAGGGCAGATTAGCCGTGCAGCAATGATGACAACCTGAACATGTTCAGGGCTGATCCCTTCTGGCAGATGTAACACCTGGTTCTCCTTCATGAACACATGAAGCGAGGTGACCACCAGTTTCTCCACTGCATCCAGGAAGCAGTCGAGCTTCTTCAGACCCCTCAGAATGTCTTTCAGCACAGCAGTCAAATTTAGTTGGCTGATGTCTTTTTTAAGTCTTGTCAACTCTCTCTTCCTTGCATCCATCCATTCAGGGAGCCTCTCACAGAATCCTCTCACTGTGTCAATGTGGCTGAGAGTATTGCTGACGTATTGGCACAAGGCCTTCTCCAGGTTCTCTCTGTAACATAAAACAACAATAGAAAAATAAAACACTCGTCCTAAATTTCATGTTGGGTTTGTGTCTGCGACCATCAAGTATTTTATTTTGTAGGCTTATGTACCTTTGGTTTGCTTTCTTTCCCTTTCCTTTCTCTCTATTTTTAATTTTTAGAACCCTGATTTCTTTCTCTCAGGGAAACACATGACAGTGTATGTTGGTGCTCCAGCAGCATACTCAGTCAGTCTCTCACTTGGCTTTAGCTATGTTTAGAGACTAATCCTTGTGCAGGGGCTGACTAAACCATTTTGTGCCTTGAAGGGGTGAGACGGAGCTTCCACTATTTTATTCTTAATTCAGAGCTCAGTCTTTTAACCAATAGATTCAGCCAATTTTCATTTAGTCAAGGCACTGATTACTTAAAATTGAACTACAAACAAATCCAATCTTTTCATTGAGCCCAAGTAGCCACCCCTAGCGCTGCCCCTGTCCCCCACTAAGACACCCCTGTGTCAAACCCTCTCCCTTGACCAACATATCAAACACATCACCAAAAGAGCCTTCTTCCATCTCAGAAACATTGCATGTCTCTGTCCATCCTTCTCCTTTTCATCCACGCATTCATCACTTCCAGATTGGACTATTGCAATTGTCTCCTCTACTGTTTGTTAGCCAAAACACTCCCTCCCTACCTTGGCCTGCTCTCCCTCCCTCACTCAAGACATCAGAGACTCCTCCTCACTCTCGACCTTCAACCCATTGCTGCTGTACCTAAGAGACTGAACAACAAAGACTGCCCGAAACTAACCTCAAGTGGCTCAAAGAAACACAACGACAGTCGTTCACTGGTAACCACACATTATGCCTAACGACTGTTGCTCACCAGTGGCCCCACTCACTCCTAACGACCGTCGTTCACTAGTGTGACTCACCTGACCCAAACAATGGTCCAGTGAAACTCCACTAACGAAGTATTGTCTTTTGAGGGTGGTGGGTGTACACCTCCACAGAGATTAAAAACCTGAGTCTTACTCCACTGTTTGTCAGACTAGTGAGGACTAGTCAGACTGATGCGTTGAGAACTGATGAAGCCGCTTGGATAAGAGGCGNTGATGTTAGGACATCTCAAGTAAAGTGACACAATGGTGTGTTTATTAACAGGAAACAAATTATACTGTATGTAGAAGTAAAATGATAGAATAACAGTACACACCAGAATAGTACATAATTAATAATAGCAACTATTATTTGTCAGTAATAATATAGAAATACAGTATAACAGAAAACATGTGGAGGTATATCTAAAAGGTCAGCTGTGTCTGTTACATCTGGAAGTATTTTAATAATAATCTTAATTCATTTCATTTTTTTACATTATCCAACCCCAATGACACACACACCCACACACGCACTCTCAGATTCAGTTTCCGCTTTGGATAAAAAGTTGTCTGTCTCTATGTGTCAGCCCTGCGTTAGTCTGGCAACCTGTCCAAGGTGTACCCTACTACTTGCTCAATGTCAGCTCTGATAGGCTCCAACCCCCCCGGATATTAGGATATTAGTGAATGAATGATGCTCTTTCTGTCTTCACCTCCCTCTCTGGATAATATGGCATCTCCAGGATAGCTTTGTTTTTCTCTGATGGCTGCAGACCTTTGCACAGTGAGACATGGATCTTCTGCCATGAGTCCATCTCTGAGCTCCAAAGAGCAGCTCTGGCTCTGATGAACTGTGAGACTTCGGTCTCACTGCCTTTGGCCAGACTGATACTGTCTTTACAGATGAAGACAATATCCATGCCGAGGAAGAGAGCATTGAGCCCAATGAGACCAGCCCTGGCTGACTTGGAGAGGGCAAGAGACCCTTTGACAGTTGCCTGTCCAATATCTGGGATTTCTGAAGCCACCCTGGGCACATTACGTAATGCTTGTCCTTCCTGCACCGCCACTAAGCCAGCCCTCATAGCCTGCTCTTTACTTTTTTTTAATGTCTGTAAAGCTGAGACATCTGTAACAAGTGAGCCAATACTGCGTCTAACTGACACAGGTTTACTCAACAAACTGAGAACCTTGAGATATTGTACATTCAATGGAATGTTAGCAGCTGGTTGAGCAGACACCTCCTCCAGACAATCCTGGAGACTCTGCACATCCTCCATAAACCTCTGGAAGACTTCACCAGCTTCCTTTTGATGTTTATGGTTTACCACAAGCTCTGTGGCGGTGGTAACAACACTGTTGACTCCGCTGGTTATTCCCAGTGCTGTCCCACCTATTATCAGACCTAGAGACACTCCGGCTGTTACAGGAATTAATGCCAAACCAATGATGGAAAGCACACCTCCAACTGCACCCACTGAGCTGCCTACCACACTGGAGATCTTTGCCCCCTTATTCATGCTGTCCAGCTGAACAGCGTTCTCCTCCAGGTCTTTAAGAAACTTCAGCATCCGGGGTTGTCGCTTGGTGAACTCATCGATGAAGCGACAACATGATACTTCCTGGAACAAGAAGTTTGTCCTGAAGTGCTGGTCCATCCTTTGAAAAACAAAAAAGGACAAATAGAAAACATAAAAAGAGGTATTTCAAAGACCAGCCTGTTACAGGGGTCAGTCTACTAATTTATGCACTGAAGTCACTGCAAACAGTGCTGACAAAATATTTGACCAAACCAAACCAAACATGGTTTACACTTACCTGATTCTATCAAGCTGATTAATGTGACAAAGCATCCGCTCTATGTCATCTTCACACAAATGTGCATTGAGGTCTACCACAGTTTCTGTGTTCCTCTTCAGGCGAAAGTCACTGAGGAAGCTTTGAAAGACAAATTTACTTTTAAATTCCACAGAAGGGTCTGTTTACTTTCTTTTACAGGGATGTGTCTAATATCAATAAAAACAAAATGTGCATATTGTTGTAAAGAAATGCCAGTTTACCTTTTCTCTAACTTCTTGCAGATTGTCTTGGTGGTCTGAATGTATCTGTCCAGCTGATATGACAGCACTTCCACATTCTGCAGTTTGGGAAGGAAGAAGACACTTGCATCTCTTTTAAATTGAAGGAGGAGAGGGCAGATTAGCCGTGCAGCAATGATGACAACCTGAACATGTTCAGGGCTGATCCCTTCTGGCAGATGTAACACCTGGTTCTCCTTCATGAACACATGAAGCGAGGTGACCACCAGTTTCTCCACTGCATCCAGGAAGCAGTCGAGCTTCTTCAGACCCCTCAGAATGTCTTTCAGCACAGCAGTCAAATTTAGTTGGCTGATGTCTTTTTTAAGTCTTGTCAACTCTCTCTTCCTTGCATCCATCCATTCAGGGAGCCTCTCACAGAATCCTCTCACTGTGTCAATGTGGCTGAGAGTATTGCTGACGTATTGGCACAAGGCCTTCTCCAGGTTCTCTCTGTAACATAAAACAACAATAGAAAAATAAAACACTCGTCCTAAATTTCATGTTGGGTTTGTGTCTGCGACCATCAAGTATTTTATTTTGTAGGCTTATGTACCTTTGGTTTGCTTTCTTTCCCTTTCCTTTCTCTCTATTTTTAATTTTTAGAACCCTGATTTCTTTCTCTCAGGGAAACACATGACAGTGTATGTTGGTGCTCCAGCAGCATACTCAGTCAGTCTCTCACTTGGCTTTAGCTATGTTTAGAGACGAATCCTTGTGCAGGGGCTGACTAAACCATTTTGTGCCTTGAAGGGGTGAGACGGAGCTTCCACTATTTTATTCTTAATTCAGAGCTCAGTCTTTTAACCAATAGATTCAGCCAATTTTCATTTAGTCAAGGCACTGATTACTTAAAATTGAACTACAAACAAATCCAATCTTTTCATTGAGCCCAAGTAGCCACCCCTAGCGCTGCCCCTGTCCCCCACTAAGACACCCCTGTGTCAAACCCTCTCCCTTGACCAACATATCAAACACATCACCAAAAGAGCCTTCTTCCATCTCAGAAACATTGCATGTCTCTGTCCATCCTTCTCCTTTTCATCCACGCATTCATCACTTCCAGATTGGACTATTGCAATTGTCTCCTCTACTGTTTGTTAGCCAAAACACTCCCTCCCTACCTTGGCCTGCTCTCCCTCCCTCACTCAAGACATCAGAGACACCTCCTCACTCTCGACCTTCAACCCATTGCTGCTGTACCTAAGAGACTGAACAACAAAGACTGCCCGAAACTAACCTCAAGTGGCTCAAAGAAACACAACGACAGTCGTTCACTGGTAACCACACATTATGCCTAACGACTGTTGCTCACCAGTGGCCCCACTCACTCCTAACGACCGTCGTTCACTAGTGTGACTCACCTGACCCAAACAATGGTCCAGTGAAACTCCACTAACGAAGTATTGTCTTTTGAGGGTGGTGGGTGTACACCTCCACAGAGATTAAAAACCTGAGTCTTACTCCACTGTTTGTCAGACTAGTGAGGACTAGTCAGACTGATGCGTTGAGAACTGATGAAGCCGCTTGGATAAGAGGCGAAACGTCTTCTAGACAAAATCAAAGTCCAGTTGCCTACGATTTAATTGTTGCCAGAATTTCGTTTTCACAGTCTTGTTAAAGCACCAGTGTGTAAAATGGGTTGAAAACAGTGACATCAGTGGTCAAATTCTAGATTGCAGGGCTCACTTGCTCACCCCTCCCGTCGGGTAAATGACAAAAAGCCTTGCGCACGAGTTTTTCAGGAGTAGTTCTATCTAGCGATGAGGTGAATGTTTATTTAGAAATCTAAGCCATGTTACGATATTGTAATGAATCCCTCACAAGCAGGAGACCAGAGGAGTGTTCGGGAAAAAGGCCAGTTTATTTGAGCACTCCAAAAACTCTGGTAACACTCCAGGGGGTAAAAGACTCCGTCCCAAACTCTGACTCTTCTGGCGTAACAGACACACTCCATAACTTTACACACATACTCGTTTACAATACTGAGTGGGGACCCCCCTCCCCTCTCTGCTCCGCCAATCTCCAGCCCGCACACTGACTGACAGCGTAGCTGGTAAACAGAGCTCAGCTGTTTATTTAGCCTAGCGATATCTCCGGACTATAGTAGCTGCAATGGCCGACTTTGAACGCGATTTTGAAGAGTTTCTTGTAGCAGACACAGACCCAGAGCCATACCTGTTTGAGCCGGAGCATACAGATGAGGAACTCCATGTGTTTGATGCTGAGCGGGCGAGAAGAGAGGCTGAATGCACAGAATGGGATTTGGTGCTACTGCTACCATCGTTGGGAGATATATCACCAGGAGGAAAAGCGCCGCAGAGAGTGCATCACAAGGAGTGAAGCTGCGTCTTCTTTTCCTCGCAGATGATGGTTCGGGTTCATTCTCTCCTGTTGCGTGGTAAGTGTGGTCCATTTGCAAACTTTTTAACTAAAAAAACTTTTCACTACTCTCTATCCACGAACTACTAACAGTCTCTGCTGTTTCCTCCTTCTTCTTCTTTCCTTCCGCTGTCTTCGTTGGTTCATTTATACACGCGAAACGCGTTCTCTGGCTGGCTGGATTGTCCGCTCGGTCTGCCGTACATACATGGCGGCGCAAGATGGCGACCTCGCTAAAGCAAGGCCCTTGCTATATATATATATATATATATATATATATATATATAAAAGCATAATTATAAGGCTACGAAAACCAAACGAATTTTATTTTATAGCGATTATACACTTGTATAAACATATTAATGGGTAGAATATTCAGATTCAGATTGACAATAAACCATGCCAAATATTACACACTGGCCCTTTAAAAACACAACAAATCTAACAATGACATCTTTAACTTACATTTCCATGTCTCCACTCATCAGTAAAGGCTACTGTTCCATCAGCTTTACTGCGTAAAGTTCTGAAGAAACTATTATGAGCAGCCTCGGCTAAGTTTCTACTGTAAATGGCTGCTAGGTCATAACACATCAAACCACACCCATTTCCAGTAAATGCCAAACACCCAGGCTGGACTTCACCTGAAATCCAGTCTGTTTTGATGCCTCCACTCTGAACAATGTCCATCACCTCTTGACTGAGGCACAGGTTAACACCATTTTCTGGGATTTTTAGACTTGATTTGATAGGACAGTGTTTGTGAGAGAGAGATTACACCCAAATTAAATAAAAAATGTACACACAACAATAAATAGACTTTTTTTAAATGTAATTATTTATTTGTGAAAGAATAATGTGCAGATTGAATTATACATATGAATAATGCAGAATCATATAGATTGTACATAATGTATTTTGCATTCAGTTTTTATATGGCAGTAATTGCAGCTCTAGAATAAACAGTGATTATGTTTTTCAGTTACATTTATCATTAGATTAAACACTAAATCACACATATAATGCATTATGTTTTGAAACAAGTTTAGCAAAAGGTTCATAAATTCAAAACTCAGAACTATAACTATAATATTATTACTTTCAATAATGTTGTTGTAAGCTACTGTTATTACCTGCATCTCTCTCTCTCTCTCTCTCTGTCTCTCTCTGTCTCTCTGTCTCTGTCTCTCTCTCTCTCTCTCTCTCTCTCTCTCTCTCTCTCATTGTGTCATGCGGATTACTGTTAATTTATTATGCTGATCTGTTCTGTACGACATCTATTGCACGTCTGTCCTTCCTGGAAGAGGGATCCCTCCTCAGTTGCTCTTCCTGAGGTTTCTACCGTTTTTTTTCCCCGTTAAAGGGGTTTTTTTGGGGAGTTTTTCCTTATCCGCTGCGAGGGTCATAAGGACAGAGGGATGTCGTATGCTGGGGGGGAGTTCCAGAGTCTGGGTGCCGAGCAGCTGAAGACTCAGGCACCCATGGTACTGAGCCATGAGGTGGGGATGGTGAGGAGTCCAGCAGAGGTTGAGCAGAGGGTGCATTCTTGAAGGAGGTCACAGAGGTAAGTGGGGGCTAGATTGTGGAGAGCTTTGTAGGTGAAGAGAGAGTTTTTGTAGTGGATGCGGTATTGTACAGGAAACCAGTGAAGTTGGATGAGAAGAGGGGTCATGTGGTCAGATGATTTGGTGCAGGTGATGATCCAGGCAGCCGAGTTCTGAATGATTTGCATTAGCCCCTTTTACACTATTACTGGTTGAAATCACAGAGTCTGTTTGTTGTGGAGATGAAGAGACCTCTGCAGACAATTTAGCTCCCAGTAAAAACCTCCTGAACAATGAACACTGAAGGAATTCTACCCAAAGTTCATGCTTGGCAAAGGGAGCTGTTTTAGCTGGTTGCAATCTGCAGTCCTCACCACTAGATCCCACACACTGCTCCTTTAAATGTAATTATTTGTTTTAAAAGTGTGCTGATTGAATTATACAAATGAATAACACAGATCATACAGATTGTTCATAATGTACTTTGCATAAATTTTTATATGGCAGTAAGTGTAACTCTAGAATACAAACAGAAGTGTTATTGTTTAGTTAAAAGTATTACATTACACCTATAATGCATTATGATTTTAAAAAAGTTTAGCAAAAGGTTCACACATTAAAAACTCAATAATGAGGTTTATGTCATGAAAATTACAGCTGATTAAGAAGTCCTACATTTTAACATTTTAATGCTGAAGAGGAGGGCGGCACGGTGGTGTAGTGGTTAGCACTGTTGCCTCACAGCAAGAGGGTTCCTGGTTTGAACCTGTGAGGGAGCCCCTCTGTGTCAGTGTGGGTTAATTGGTGACTCTAAATTGTAAATGGTTGTCTGTCTCTATGTGTCAGTCTGGCAACCTGTACTGGCAAGGTGTACCCTAAGACTTGCTCAATGTCAGCTGGGATAGGCTCCAACCCCCCCTGCGATGGAAATCAGTGAACAAATGATGCTCTTTCTGTCTTCATCTCCCTCTCTGGGTAAAATGGCGTCTCCAGGATAGCTTTGTTTATCTCTGATGTCTGTAGACCTTTGCACAGTGAGACATGGATCTTCTGCCACGAGTCCATCTCAGAGCTCCAAAGAGCAGCTCTGGCTCCGAAGCCCACTATATCAGATGAGCTACTTGGTGTCACACCCCCTGTACAATTTGGACACCCAATTAACTCAAAATGTACCTTCATCTTACCTTAAGGCTAAGCTGCCCCTCCAGAAAGGCTGAAGAGTGATGCCGGCTTAGTGCATGGCAGCAGTCTGAAGTCAGCCATCAAGTAATGGTTATGTGTGACAACGAAGGACAACTACAGAAGCAACCAACGTGTGGCAAAAGTGGACCTTGGCCTGCTCTCTCTCAAAAAAATTAAAAATAAAATAGGAGCAGAGCGCTTCCACTTGCAGTAATACACAACTGTAAAGTAACCAAGTGCTGAACACAAAGCCCAATGCAAAACAGCAAAAATCAAAACATTTTATTCTTGTTTTAATTTCATTTTCACATTCATGTTAAATACAAAGGCAGTCTACAAAAATGAAATCCTTGAAATGAAAAACCTTCCCATTTCTCCATTTGTCAAAACAGGAACAGGCTAGCTACTGTACCATCAGCTTTATTGTGTTATGATCTGGAGAAACTGTTGAGCAACCTCTGCTAAGATTTCCACACTCTCACCACACCCATTTCTAGTAAATGCCATAGACTGTTTGGTAAAAAACACACACACACACACACACACACACACACAGTCAATAACAGAGAAAAAAAAACATATGTTTTTAAAGGTCCAGTGTGGACTATAATGTAATGAGTATGTTTTCCATAGGACTGGGGTTTCACCTGGGCAGGTGTGGTTTTGCAGGGCACTGCAGTGCACTGCTTCAGCCAGTTCCATGACCATCTCATCAAGTCATTCGAAAATCTGCAGCAAAGTCTAGTCGCAGTTGCAGTCTTGCCAGCAAGGAGAAAATAATTAAGAGAATCTTTGTAAATCAATGGTCAAAGAAAAAAAAAAAAACATCTCTGTTTGAAGTCACAGAGTGGGCTTCAGCTCAGCAATTTTGTTGGTTGATGTCTCCACCTCTGTTACCTTGATGATATGATGAGAACATGAAAGTGACGTGATCCATCATATTTTAGCTGCTTATGCTCTGCTGTGCTGTGGTTCCTGTAAAAATCCTATGTTCCTGCACCTATATGCTCCTGTATACAAGTTTCTCCTCTCAGTTTGCTGTGTTCTTCTATAGTTCTTTACCAACACGTTTTTGTTTTTGCTCATATGTGCATGTTTAAGTGAAAGGACTTTTGCCATTGTGGTACACGTGAAGTTTACTATGTCCTGCACTGGGTCGGGTACCCTCAAAAACAGCTGATTTGCGGGTGGTTTTTAAAAAAACATTTTTTCCCAGGTTCGGATCTGGGTGGAAAAAATAACATGCGGGTCGGATCGCGGGTTTTAGATAAACACATCAGTCATTAGTTCGGTAAACTACAGATAACTATCTTGGTCATTATTTACTCTCTGAGGATTGCCTCCGCTATTTCGCAACAGTCATTGGTTCAGCTGTTTACACGTGTTTCACCATCTAATAACACAATTTGTGATTGGACGATAGAATCAACATGGCTGCCACTGTCTAACAAGCGCCGCTTCCAAAACAGTAAATAATTATTTAGGTATTTGAGAAATAAGTGGATAAAACGTAGGGTGATATCAGCTAAATTGGGCCACTTTTTGGTTAATCACTTGGGAAACTAAGAAAAAACAATGTATGACATTTGATTGTGTTTCTATGATTAATAATGACTGTTTTTAATATTTTTGTGTTGAATTTATGTAATAAAATATAATTGTTAAGACCCTACAGCAGAGTCCTGCACAGGTCCAGTTTTCAAGATCCGCCCCGACCCAACCCGGCGACGTACAAACCCGCACCCGAACCGCAAACCCGCGCATCAGGCCAATTAGTACCGCAACCCAGTCTGACCCGTTGAAACACGACCCGCAGCCTGACCCGTAACCCGGATTTAAAGTAATCATTTTGGGTCATATTGGCTGAATATTGAACAGCATATCGCCACAGTTAAGGTGCCAGTAAGTAAACAACGACCTGAATGAAGCAGCTCTCACAATAAAAACCTGACTTCAGCTCCATCATCAACCCTCTGTGTTCTTCTCCCATACGAGTGTAAAAGCACTCGTTTGTTACGTTTAATGCTTTTAAACTTTTAATCTATGTAAAGGAACTTTACATGTGTAATAATAGACTTACTTTCTGTCCAGAGCGACGTTCAGCAGTTACGAGCCGTCACGTGGTTTTAGAATCCATCGAGGAGAGAAGTAATCCATCAGGGAAACACTTCAGAAACATTATAAAGTGATAGTTGTACGTTTTATCCACTTATTTCTCAAATACCTAAACAATTATTTACTGTTTTGGAAGCGGTGCTTGTTAGACAGTGGCAGCCATGTTGATTCTGTCGTCCAATCACAAATTGTGTTATTAGATGGTGAAACGCGTGTAAACCTGGTATAAACAGCTGAACCAATGACCGTTGCGAAATAGCGGAGGCGATCCTCAGAGAGTAAATAATGACCAAGATAGTTATCTGTAGTTTACCGAACTAATGACTGATGTGTTTATCTAAAACCCGCGATCCGACCCGCATGTTATTTTTTCCATCCAGATCCGAACCCGGGAAAAAATGTTTTTTTAAAAACCACCCGCAAATCAGCTGTTTTTGCAGGTACCTGTTGGGTACCCGCGGGTACCCAACCCAGTGCAGAACTCTGAGGGAGGGTGGGTTCGAGAGATCTGACAGGCCTGTGGTAGAGCTGTGCCGGTATACATTAGTCAGGTGATTAGAGGAGTGGTTGAGGCATGGTCCTGCTCCTGAACCTAAGTTAAACAGTTAACTCCATTTCACTAGCAAGGACCACACCACAACAATATGCAATTTAAAGATTTAATGAAGATGTGATTGTCAGAGAAATGGTTATGAATGGGGGAGTGCAGATTTGCAGATGAATGAACGGGATGGAGATGACGTCATCGGAAGGTCGGACTGGGTGAGGTGTAGATGTGGGCGGAGAGACTCAGTGTGGGGGTTCTGATGAGCCCGTGCTGTTAGGAAGCCCCCAAAAGAGTCTGATTAAGTGAGGCTTAGTCTGTCATGTGCTAGACGGAGATCATTGAGGTTATTCTGGATGTTGGTTTGATATGCTTGTGAAGACCAGCAGCCGAGGACCTGTATGATTTGGTCTGAAATTCCTGATCTGGCGGCTGAGGAGGCAGCGCTGATGCGGAACGAATGGCAAGAGTAATGATCTGATGAAATTCTGGAGAGACGGAGGATATTATGGAAGTGTTTCTGGAACCAGAAATGGGTGGCCATCCTCCCTGTTTCGGTGAGGAAGAGGGGATCTTGTGGTGAAGCGCGGGCGGAATACTGGGTGTGGATGTATCTGGTCAGTGGCTCGTACGGGCTGAGAAAGGAGTTGAGGTGAAAGATGTAAATGGGAAAGGATACTCCTAACTGATCAGTTTTACTCCTGCGGAGTGTGAATATGAGCGAGTCGGAAGTGTGAGTGGTGATGTCGGATAGACTGGGATGACGGGAAGGATCGTAGACAGATGAGGTTGGAGCAAATTCAGAGCACCTCAGAAATCCGAAGAAAGCGAGTAGAAACATTGATTCCAGTGTTAAGTCGACTGTGGGAGAAATGTTACCGGAGTGCAGAGTGCGTATGCAGCGGCAGAGCAGATTGGAGGTGAGAGGAAGGCGTCTGGCTGTCAGCGCTGGTTCGTGCTTTCGTAAGCCTTTGATTAGCATGGTGATGTGAGAGTGCAAGATTGAATGACAAGGGAGGCCGGTGGATAATTTATGGAATAAACTGATACCAGCCAGATATGTTTGTATGCTGGAGGCCCGGATCTTTGTTATAGTATGACAGTGTGTGATGAAGTTGCACATGGACATGGCGTCCAGAGAGGGAAATAGTAGATGATAAGTGGCGTAGTAATTCTTGAAAGAATTCCAGCCAGTGAGGTAAGCAGATAGCTTGCTTGGTGCTAAACTGTTAAGGATGGCTTCTTGTGAGGTGCCAGATGAGGATTTAATTGAATATGGTTGCTGAAAACGGTGGGATTGGTGTGGGATGGACATCCGAGTCTGGAGCCAAGTATCTGAATTTCTGGAAAGAGAAGCGGGAGAGTGAGTCAGCGATGGCGTTGTGGTGGCCGGGAATGTGAGACGCACGGAGGATGAATTTATGCTGAGCGGGTGAGTCTGCGGGTGAATGGCATGATGGCTGGGGAACAGGAACGGCCTTTATTGATTATATCTACTACTGCTGTGTTGTCAGAGTGAATAGTGATGCATTTTTTAGACCATTTGTGCCCCCAAATTAGAGTGGCGATGATCACAGCATACAGCTCATACAGAGCAGACGAGGGAGAGCGCGACTCTGCGTCAAGGGACTCGAACTCGGAGGGCCAAGCAGCAGCAAACCACCTCCCCCCGTAATACCCGCCGAAACCTACAGAGGGAGCCGCGTCCGTGTAGAGTTGAATGTCCTCGGGATGAGTGATGAAGTCATCGTAGAAGAATGAGATGCCGTTCCAGGATGACAGAAATTGCTGCCACATGCGCAATTCCATTTTACAAGTGTCATCCAGAACCGCGCGGTCGTGGAGAGAGGGAATGGATGCAGCTTTGGTTAGCAGTTGAGAAAGAAAAGATTTTGCCTGTGGAATTATGCGGATGGCATAATGGAGGTGCCCGAGGAGAGCGAGCAGCTGGCGTTTGGTGCACCTGTCTGTCAGGAGATAATTAGACAAGAGCAGCAAGATACGCTGCACTTTCTCCGTGGGCAGTGAAGCCTGGAATGACAGTGAGTCCAGAGTGATGCCCAGAAACTCGATGGACGTGCCAGGTCCTGAAGTTTTTTCTTGGGACAGAGGGACGCCGAGGTCAGAAAATGAGGACGTAAGTGTAGTGAGACCGTGGCGAGGAGGTGAGGACGGAGGAGTCACGACAAGAAAATCGTCAAGGAGATGAAGCACGTAAGGGAGCCTGTAATTGTTGGAGAGGATCCAGCATAGAGCCTCGGATAAAGAGTCAAAGATTTTGGGACTGCTCTTGCAGCCGAAAGTGAGGCGCATGGAGAAGAAGTAAGCCCCCTTCCAGCAGACACCAAAATAACACCAGAAGTCAGGGTGAATGGGCAAGACCATGAATGCACTGGTGATATCAGCCTTAGACAGCCATGCCCCATGTCCCGCCAGACGGATCAGTGCCATGGCGTGGTCAATGGTGGCGTACTGCATGGAGAAATCCAGGCTAGGAATAAGGCTGTTGATGCTCGGGATGTCGGAGCCGTGTGAGGAAGACAGATCAATGATCAGCCTCTTTTTCCCCGAGTATTTGCGTGTGGCGACACCGATGGGACTAATATGGAATACAGAGAAAGGAGGATGATCGAAAGGGCCTATCATAAATCCCTCAGTGACCTCTTTTGCCAGTAACGTGTCGACAGTGTTGGGCTCAGTGAGAGCGGATTAAAGATTGTGACACGTGTGGGAAGAATTGGGAAGCACCTCCATGCCAGGGTGAAAACCATGAGTGAAGCCAAAGATGAGAAAATCGACAAACTGCTTATCAGGGTGATCACTGAGAGCAGCAGCGAGTGCACGTACCTTGATGGGCGTGCCGAGGTGACGTTCTAGTCATGCCGCTGTGTTGGTGGGATTATGGGGGCAGGTGGTCCTGGTGTGAGCACCCCCGCAGAAGGACCAGACGTGCAGGAGGCGGCAGCCAGACGAGTTGCAACCCCACTGATTGAAATTACTGCACACCATCCTGCCGCCCTGATAGAGGATCCGCTGTCCTTGCTTGTTGACGCCCTTTGACACCAGCACGTTGACAGTGGGACGTGCATCCTTGGCTCTGGGGATGACAGGAGGAGGAGGTGCAGCGGAAGTCAGACAGTCGAAGATCGGGGCATTGCGTGGAGTGGTGGGGCGGGAGTGCAGTGGAGGAGCCATGATAGTGCATGCAGAGGCCGGGTGAGAAGGGGCGCTGCATAAGTCGCAGGAGAGGGAGGAACGAACTGCAAAAATGCGGCAGTATATTTCAGAATCGAGGACCCCCCAGTACGTCCCCTGATTTAGCTGCTGCAACCGGCCGGCTGCTTGTGCAGCAAAGTGGACATGGTAGCTATAAAATCCCAGCCCCCCAAAACGCAAAGCCATGTCCAACACGATGGACAAATAGTCATCCAGCTCTGATCGACGGTATGGATAAGCAGAGCAGATGACGTCATGAAATAGGGAGAAAGCTAGAGCAAACTCAACAGGAGTTAAGTCTTTAGACCTGGCTGGCAATGACTGCTTTAGTAGAACTGGACCGAGGACAGTCTGCAGTTCCCTGGGTTGACTACTGTCGAAAAAGGATGGCTGAATGAGCTGGACTAGGTCTACATAATTACTGGATAATATTTGCTGGCGCAGTGAGTGCGAGACGGGTGAGGGGCGGTAGATGGCAGAGGCTGGCGGAGCTGGTGGTGTGGCTGTGGCCAGATTGTAGACGGTAGCAGAGGAAAAACATTAGGGGGTGGGGGGGGTGGTAAGGAAGGGGTAAGGAGAGACACGTCGGAAAGAGAGTGGAAGGCAGTGAAACACCCACCGGAGGAGCCCCTTGTGCTGCAGGACGGGGCTCCTGGGCTGCGATGCCAGCCGGAACAGGATAGTTGGAAGGAAGGGTGGAGGAAAGGGATGTGGGGATGGAGGATGTGTGTGCACTGGGTGAGAGTGGAGGCCTGTGAGACAGGGAGGAGAAGAAGGCAGATATTGCGCGTGACATATCTGCATCAGAGGGAGCAGGCACAAGGGGTGATACGACCTGACCCCCGGCTGGGGCAATGAATGAGAGAGGCTGCTCAGGCTGGAGTGGTGGAGGCGCCGTGACGTCACCGACGGTGACGCTGGCGGGAGTAGGCCCTGGAAGGGAACCCAGAAGTGCGGCCGGCTTGGGAGAAGGAGCTGTGGTCTCAGGGGCCCGGCTGAATAGAGCTGGAACAGCCTGGACTTATTGTCGCTGCGGTAGAAGGGGATGTTTTTGCCCAGGAACCGCTGGAGCCGGGCGATGGTCCAATCCCTGATGTCGGGCTCTTGTGGACGTGGAGATGGTGGAGATGGCCAAGTGGAGCGCGACGGAGCGCCGTCTCAGCAGCCTGCTCCCCTGGGAGTGTCGGCTACCGGCAGACTGCTGAGATGGAGTCAGAGGATCACCTGGCTCAAACAGGGACTCGTACAAGTTGTCAGAGTCAGACCCGGACGGGTTGACTTGCAGCACATGATCCATCTTGGTGAGTACACGAAAAACACACTTGCTGAGATATGTAGGGTCGCCAATGTTCGAGAGATCTGACAGGCCTGTGGTAGAGCTGTGCTGGTATATATACGTTAGTCAGGTGATCACAGGAGTGGTTGAGATGTGGTCCTGCTCCTGAACCTAAGTTAAACAATTAACTCCATTTGTTTATTACTGCAAGTGGAAGCACTCTGCTCCTACTTTTTTTTTTTTTTGAGAGAGAGAGAGCAGGCCAAGGTCCACTTTTGCCACACGTTGGTTGCTTCTGTAGTTGTCCTTCGTTGTCACACGTAACCGTTACTTGATGGCTTGACTACTGCCATGCACTAGGCTGGCATCACTCTTCGGCCTTTCTGGAGGGGCAGCTTAGCCTTAAGGTAAGATGAAGGTACATTTTGATTTAATTGGGTGTCCAAATTGTACAGGGGCTGTGATACCAAGTAGCTCACCTGATAGAGTGGGCTTCATGTACATAAAGGCACTGCTCCTGCTGCAGCAGCAACAGGTTCAGTTCTGGCCCATTGCTGCATGCCATTCTCTCTCTTCCCTTTCACACAAACACTGTCCTATCAAATAAAGTCTCAAAGGAAATGGGTGTGGCTGGATGTGTGATAATTTAGCTGCTATTTAGAGCTGAAACCTAGCTGAGACTGCTCATAATAGTTTCCTCAGAACTTTATGCAGTAAAGCTGATGGAACAGTAGCCTATACTGATGAGTGGAGACATGGAAATGTAAGTTAAAGATGTTATTTTTAGATTTCTTATGTTTTTAACAAGATTGTTACTACTTACAGAAGTAAAACAAGAATTACATTTTCGCTTTCTGTTGTTTTGCATCAGGCTTTGTGTTAAAATACTTAGTTAGTTTACAGGTGTGTATTACTGTGAGTGAATAGCTCTGCTCCAGCTGTTTGGACTGTGCATTTTATGAGCAAAAACAAAAACGTGTTAGAAAGGAACTATAGAAGAACACAGCAAACTGAGAGGAGACACTTGTATACAGGAGCATATAGGTGCAGGAACATAGGATTATTACGGAAACCACAGCACAGCAGAGCATAAACAGCTAAAATATGATGGATCACGTCACTTTCATGTTCTCATCATATCATCAAGGTAACAGAGGTGGGGGACTCCAATCACATGACTTAATAAAATAATAACAAATGAAAAAAAGACATCAACCAACAAAATTTGACTGCTGTGCTGAAGGCCACTCTGGGAGGTCTGAAGAAGCTCGACTGCTTCCTGGATGCAGTGGAGAAACTGGCGGTCATCTTGCTTCATGTGTTCATGGAGGAGAACCAGGTGCTACATCTGTGACAGCTGGAGTTTTTCTAGGTCTGATAATAGGTAGGACAGCACTGGGATTAACCAGCGGACTCAACAGTGCTGTTACCACCGCCACAGAGCTTGTGGTAAACCATAAACATCAAAAGGAAGCTGGTGAAGTCTTCCAGAGCTTCATGGAGGATGTGCAGAGTCTCCAGGATTGTCTGGAGGAGGTGTCTGCTCAACCAGCTGCTAACATTCCATTGAATGTACAATATCTCAAGGTACTCAGTTTGTTGAGTAAACCTGTGTCAGTTAGACGCAGTATTGGCTCACTTGTTACAGATGTCTCAGCTTTACAGGCATTGAGAAGTGACGAGCAGGCTCTGAGGGCTGGCTTAGTGGTGGTGCAGGAAGGACAAGCATTACGTAATGTGCCCAGGGTGGCTTCAGATCTCCCAGATATTGGACAGGCAACTGTCAAAGGGCCTCTTGCCCTCTCCAAGTCAGCCAGGGCTGGTCTCATTGGGCTCAATGCTCTCTTCCTCGGCATGGATATTGTCTTCATCTGTAAAGACAGTATCAGTCTGGCCAAAGGCAGCAAGACTGAAATCTCGCAGTTAATCAGAGCCAGAGCTGCTCGTTGGAGCTCAGAGTTGGACTCATGGCAGAAGATTCATGACTCACTGAGCAAAGGTCTGCAGACATCAGAGAAAAACAAAGGTATCCTGGAGACGCCATATTATCCAGAGAGGGAGGTGAAGACAGAAAGAAAAACAGAAACTCCATCTGATGAAGTGGATGTAAAGCCAAAAATGAAAGAGAAAAAATAGGATGTGTGATACAGTAGTGCACAGTGAACAGAGACAATTGCTGCATATGTAGCACCAATCATCTTGTTGCCAACTCTGACACTTTGGTCAGAAATTAGATCCATTTAAACTCAGCTTACAGCTTACTGTTCAGCATCATTAATTCATTTATTTCTGTAACTGTTTATCCTCTTGAGGGTCGCGGGGGGGCTGGAGCCTATCCCAGCTGACACTGGGCGAGAGGTGGGGTACACCCTGGACAGGTCGCCAGACTATCACAAGGTTGACACATAGAGACAGACAACCATTCACACTTCCTCGTTGTGTCATTTTGAACAAGTGATTTTAGTTACAGTTTTTTACAATGACTTCAGCTCTAATTTCAGAACCTTGATATCCCCTTTCACATCTCTAGACACAAAACTCAAAGCTAATGATCAAAATGCATGTTTTTTCAAAACTCCTAACACTTTTTCCAATTGCTTGGATACTATACACATTGACCTAAGATCATTTGTTCATTAACTAGAATCACCTGCTCAAAATGACACAACTTAACATCAAAGTATTACCATTTCAAAATGCAATTCACACATTACATCTGACATGACTGTCTATTCATTTCATTACAATGATCTAACCATCAGTGTATACAACTGCTCAAAATAATACAGTTTTGTACAATCTCTTTAGCGCTAATTTCAGAACCTTGATGTCATTTTTCACAACTCAAGTCACAAAACTCAAAACGGTCATCCCTTGTAACACAGGCTGTCCAAATGCTCAAAACATTGCATTGTGCATCCATATTATTAAAGAAACCTTACACCTGCAGAATCACTGTTTCAAATAAACGCATTGTATCATGAAATACCATATGAACTTACAGTAATTTAGATCACCCACGCACAAGATACAGATAGTTTCATTGTTTATTACTTTGAACAATCATTAAATATTATAGTACAAAATATGTGAACAATGTTTCATTATGGTACTACATCACTCTAAACTGTTACCTGAAATTTATTGAAGAAATACAACATAGATTTCTTTGAATCAAAGCAAAAATAATTGGCTACAAAAAAGAAAAAAAC